GAGATAGTGAGTTCTAGTCCCACCCTTAGGCATGAAATCCAGCTAGGTGACTTCATCCCAATCACCAGGAGATAGTGAGTTCTAGTCCAACCCTTAGGCATGAAATCCAGCTAGGTGACTTCGGCCCAATCCCCAGGAGTCAGTGAGTTCTAGTCCCACCCTTAGGCATGAAATCCAGCTAGGTGACTTCATCCCAATCACCAGGAGATAGTGAGTTCTAGTCCAACCCTTAGGCATGAAATCCAGCTAGGTGACTTCGGCCCAATCACCAGGAGTCAGTGAGTTCTAGTCCCACCCTTAGGCATGAAATCCAGCTGGATGACTTTGGTCCAATCACCAGGAGGCAGTGAGTTCTAGTCCCACCCTTAGGCATGTAATCCAGCTAGGTGACTTCGTCCCAATCACCAGGAGTCAGTGAGTTCTAGTCCCACCCTTAGGCATGAAATCCAGCTGGATGACTTTGGTCCAATCACCAGGAGGCAGTGAGTTCTAGTCCCACCCTTAGGCATGAAATCCAGCTAGGTGACTTCGTCCCAATCACCAGGAGTCAGTGAATTCTAGTCCCACCCTTAGGCATGAAATCCTGCTAGGTGACTTTGGCCCAATTACCAGGAGATCGTGAGTTCTAGTCCAACCCTTAGGCATGAAATCCAGCTGGGTGACTTTGGCCCAATCACCAGGAGGCAGTGAGTTATAGTCCCACCCTTAGGCATGAAATCCAGCTAGGTGACTTCGTCCCAATCACCAGGAGGCAGTGAGTTCTAGTCCCACCCTTAGGCATGAAATCCAGCTAGGTGACTTCGTCCCAATCACCAGGAGTCAGTGAGTTCTAGTCCTACTCTTAGGCATGAAATCCAGCTAGGTGACTTCGTCCCAATCACCAGGAGGCAGTGAGTTCTAGTCCCACCCTTAGGTATGAAATCCAGCTAGGTGACTTTGGCCCAATCACCAGGAGTTGGTGAGTTGTATTCCTGTCTTAAACCTGAAAGCCGTCTGGGTGATTTTGGGCCAATCACTCTCTCTCCGCCCAGCCCACCTCACAAAGTTGGTTATGGTGGGAAAAAATAGGAGGAGGAGGAAGGAATCTTAGATATGTTGACTTCCTTGAGTTAATTGTGAAAATAATAAAAGGAGGAACACAACCAGCTAACCAATATTTCTGGGGTCCCAAAATTGAAATTATTCTCTTTTCCTCCCTCTTACAGCTGGGCTTGGATATGGAGGAGCTGCAGGAAATTGAAGAGGACGCCGGCTTGGGCAACGGAGGACTGGGGCGACTGGCAGGTGGGCATGAGGGAGGGGAAGGTTGGGACATAACAGCCCCCTTCCTTGGCGGTTCCAAAGTTCCTGCAAAGATCTTGTACGATCTTGCCTTTTGGGGAGCAGAGAAGCCCCGTCTGCCATTGTATTGAAGGGCGACGTTTTCATCAGCTGATCAAGCGATAAGTTTTGCTGAACACTTCCGCCTTTGAATGAGATTTGCAAAAACGATACCGGCGGGATACAACGGAATTAAAAAAACAACCGGTTCGTTGGGAAAAGACGAACCCAACTTCCCCTGAGTTTAAAATCCTTCCCTTCAGGATTTTTTTTTTCCTAGACAAGGGCAACCTCTGCTCGAAAAACCTCACCACCCCCCCATTAGGATGGGGCATCTGGAAGTCATCTAGTCCACCCCCTAAATTGCATAGCAGTGAAGGCGAACCTTTTCGGCACCAAGCACCCAAACCAGAATGCACGTGTGTATATGCGTGTACCGGAGCGCTGGAAACTCGAAGACCAGCTGGCCAATGCATGCGTGCCTGTTTTGGGGGCGCTTTTGGCCATTATGGGGGGCATTTCAGGCCATTTTTCGGGCCATTTTGAGCCCCCAAAATGGCCTGAAAATGCCCCCAAAATGGACTGTCTTGGGACTGTTTTCCAGCGCTCCAGTGCCCATGAAGTTCAGTGCCAGAAACCAGAGGAGGGCATGCGTGCCCACAGAGAAGGGCTCTGTGCCACTTCTGGTACCCATGCCATAGGTTCGCCATCAATGGATCTAGAGTCTGGTTGTTGCCCACAACCCACTTAGGGATGGATCTACAGTATATTCATTAGGCTGAGCTTTCTCAGGCTGTTTTTGTACGCTAGATACATGGTGCGAATTCAGCCCGCGTGTGTTGCACAAGCCCCAGCCTGTGACAGCTAGCGAGAGAGAGGTCTTCAGAATAAAGTGCAATCTCACTTTACTGAGTTGAGTGGAGGTCCTGAGGTGGTCTCGCGGACACTCCACGGTGTTTGCTTGCCGTTAATAGGGAAGAGATTAACCCTGTCTGCCTTCGAAGGTTTCCTGTTGGTCTCCTTTCCAACTCCAATCCAGCTATTTTAAGGCAACCATTTCAGAGGAACTTACTAACCCATGCAGGTTTTTCTGGGGACGCTTCCGCCTCCAGTTTGCCACACTCAGCCAGTGGTCTCTGCAATCCCCTGGTTTCAATCAAACTTGGGACTGGTTCGCACAACCAGCGAGCCCTTAATGTGGCTTGTTTCTTTCTATATTTTGTGCATCTACAAACCATAGCATTATTCAGTGAAACCAAGCCAACATGCCTTACGTCTAACTCACTTTAAAGCTGTTGTGCCCTGCCAGCAGCCAGAGGAGCTGGCAGCAGAGTCGGACAGTGAGGAGGGTTGGGGAGGAACCTGGGCCAGTCCTGGAGGCTGGGAAAGGCTCTGAGGAGGACTCTCTGTTGGAGGCAGAGAGGGGGCCAGGGACGTCTGACAGTTATCAGCTGCCTTTGGAGTCAGACATCAGAGAGGCAGAAGAACAGCTGGAGCCTGTTCCCAGTGTGTGCATGCGCAGAACTGCCAGATGAAGGGAACAGCTAAAGAACAGGGACGTACTTGGGAGTAAGGCCACAGGTGGACGGTGAATGGCCCCTCCCAGAGGAAATAAAAGAGGAGCGAAAGGGGAATGGAGTTTGCAGGAGACAATTAGTTCACTTCATTGGTTTGTGATTCTCTGAGGCTNTCATCCAAACCGGCCCACCAGGTCGCCCCCCACCCCAAAAAGACAATTTTCCAGCGTCCTCCTCTCTTCTTTTCCCCCTTTCCCTTTCTTTCCTGCCCGTGGCCAGATGGAGCTCCGGGCAAGGCGGGAGGGGCTTCGGGGACCCCGGCCCGGCCCTTCATGCATAATGCATCAGCCGGAGGGAAGGGAGGGGAAGGTTTAAAAGGCCGGCGGGGCGAGGCATGGGGCGCATTTGCCGGCGTTCCTCCCTCCCTCCGTCCGTCCCGTCCAGCCCATCCCGGACCGCCGCGATGTCGCTGCCGCTGTCGGACTTCGAGAAGAGGAAGCAGATCAGCGTGCGGGGCTTGGCCGGCGTGGAGAACGTGACCGACCTGAAGAAGAGCTTCAACCGGCACCTCCACTTCACGCTGGTCAAGGACCGCAACGTCTCCACGCCCCGCGACTACTACTACGCCCTCGCCCACACCGTCCGCGACCACCTGGTCGGGCGATGGATCCGCACCCAGCAGCACTACTACGAGAAGGACCCCAAGGTGCGGATACCCCACTCCTCCTCCTCCTCCTCTTCCCCCCTCCTCCTGCCTACCTGGCAGGGCTGTTGTGCGCTTTAGCCACGCGTGGATCGCTCGCTGGCGATCTTGGTTGGGCCGTTAAAGGATCTCGCGTCCCCCCCAAAACTACCATCCCTTATTGGTGCTTGCTGGGATAGGACCCCACCCCCACCTCCTTGAGTTTGAGTTAACAGAGTGGGAAGGGACCTTGCAGGTCATCTAGTCCAACCCCCTGCCCAAGCAGGAGACTCTGCCTCTGCCTAGGATCGAACTCACAACTCCCTTTTTTCCTTCCTTGCTGGCTCCCTAAGAACAGCCCTTCTGCACCCCTTGAGCCCTCCTCCTCCAGTCCCTATCATCCCCACCCAGGCTGAGATGATGGGCTCTGTAGTCCCAGAGGAAAACAGCAAGTCGGTGGCCGTTGTCTACATCGGATTCTTTTTCCCCAGCCAGTTATGGGCAGGCAGGACTCCAAGGGCCTGGTGGGGGGTGGGGAGGCAAGCTGGCAGCCATGGGGGGCAAGATCAAAGCTGCAGAGGTGCCTATTAATAGCTGTTGATAGCATCGCTTAGGATGGTGGGAAATCACAGCCCCAGTTTGGGATGAGGGACGGGCAGGGGGGGAAAGCCACCAGCAAAGACGCCTTTGCACACCCGTGTGTGCAAAGCGAACCCCACCTTGTGCTAAGAATAGAATAGAATAAGGAGAATAGAATAGAATNCTTGCCAAGTTCTGCAGATCGCGGCCTGTCAGCTCTCCAAGCCAGATAAGGTCTGTGACTGTAAATCCTCCCTTGAAAGACTTTGCTGGATGGGAAAGAGCAGAACTCACAGTCAATTAATAAAAGGGGTTTTGTTGGGACCAGGACAGGCTCTTCACGCTCTGAGGAAGCCTCAGTCAGAACAAAATCAGGGGTATCCAGCCTTGGCAACTTTAAGACCTGTGGACTTCAACTCCCAGAATTCCCCACCCAACTTGAAGTCCACAAGTCTTAATGTTGTCAAAGTCGGAGCCTCCTGCTTTCCAATGTACTTTAGTCTCCTTTCCATTCTGCTCACTGGTCCTCATGTGGGTTTCACCGTCGCCCCCCAGCTTGCTTCCTGGACTCCATGGCGACTCTCGGCTTGGCTGCTTACGGCTACGGGATCCGCTACGAGTTCGGCATTTTCAACCAGAAGATCCTAGGAGGCTGGCAGGTGGAGGAAGCCGACGACTGGCTGCGTTACGGCAATCCCTGGGAGAAGGCCCGCCCGGAGTACATGATCCCCGTCCACTTCTACGGACACGTGCAACACGGAGAGGGAGGAGTGAAGTGGGCGGACACGCAGGTAAGCGGCTTTTGACTCCTTGCGCAGGGGAGTGTACGGGCACATCCTCCTCGTGTTTCCTCCCCAAACATCACAGCTTCCCTGGGATACAACCTGGGGCGGAATCAACTTGCCTTCACTACTGTCTGCAAATGGAAGTGCTCGCTCGCTTTGCTTGCGCGCACCACCTCCGCGCAGGTGCATGCGCAGAGCATCAAAAATGGGGCGTGATGCCATCCAGGTAGGTGGGTGGAGCCTCCCGCTGCCGCCGCTACCTATTCACACCGAACTGGGTAGAAGTGGCTGAATTTGAGCTCCCATCGTTTCTCTTATCCGGCATTCTGGTTGCATTCCCACAAGACTTTTCACTTCCATCTCTCGCTGCTGCTGTTTGGAGTTCCTACATGACAGGAAGTCCTCGACTTACAGCTATTCATTTAGTGACCGTTCAAAGTTACGGCGGCACTTAAAAAAGTGACCGGGGACTGTTCTTCACAATTACGTCCGTTGCAGCATCCCCATGGTCACGTTGATCGGAATTGGGACTCTGGTTCGTATTTATGACGGTCGCAGTGTCCCAAGGTCACACGATCCCCTTTTGTGACCTTCTGACAAGCAAAGTCAATGGGGAAGCCGGATCCACTTAACAACCGTGCGACCAACTTAACAACTGCAGGGATTCACTTAGTGACTGTGGCCAAAAGGATTGTAAAATGGAACAATCCTTTCTTACCATGTCTTGCTTAGCCACAAAAAAATTTTTGGACTCGATTGTGGTCGTAAGTCGAGGACTACCTGTAAAACCCCCATTGGGATCAGAATTTCCCAGCTCCCAGTTGGTGAGTGAGATGCGAGTGATTTTTACAGCCTTTTTTGTGGCCGTTGTTAAGTGAACCCATTGTTTGGCAAGCCTTGTTTATTTGTCTGAAACCGGAAATAAATGATGGTTTCCTGGGGGGAAAAAAACCCTCATAAATTGTGGTAACATGACCATTTGATGCTGCTGTAAATGGCCATAAATGCGGGCTGGTTGCTGAGCCCTCACCCCTCCGAAGTGCAATTGTGATTGGGGGAGAGGGGGCTATTAGGACATAAAAACTGAATTTTAAGTAGCTTTTGAGAGGGGGGTTCCATTGTAACTTCAAACGACCACTAAGCCTACCTTAATAGAGTATTACTATATTACCTATGAGAGGGACGTGGTGGCTTAGTGGTTGCTGAGCTTGTCGATCAGAAAGGTCGACGGTTCGAATCCCTAGCGCCGCGTAACGGAGTGAGCTCCTGTTCCTTCTCCCAGCTTCTGCCAACCTAGCCGTTTGAAAGCAGGTAAAAAATGCAAGTAGAAAAATAGGAATTGGTGGGAAGGGAACAGCGTTCTGTGAGCCTTTGGCATTGAGTCA